ACGCCAACATAATTTCTAGAGAATTTAACGACAGAAAGTTCGTTTCGCTCATCGCTGATAAATTCTATCCTAGCCACGAATTCGAACGATTCTTGCAAACCTGTCTATATCAAATCTGTCTATAAATACGAAAATATCCGAAAACGAGATATCGAAGATTCAACCATAGATCCATAGATTATATAACACCAACAGAACAGAGCGTCAGTTAAAAAATTGCAACCTCGTCCCCGTCTTTTCATCATGCTATGTAAGCCTCGTTCGATTCGAAACGCCTCGAAACGATTGGTGCTACGAACCAATTGTAAAATGCTTCCTTTTATAATTTTATAAACGCACATGTAACGCGTGTGTACGTACTACGTGGAAAACGATTATGCAGCGAAACGGCAAAGAGTCGAACTAATTATCATGATGAGCTATAAAACGAGGCCGGATAATTTCCGTCACCTGTTAATTGGCCTCTAGCATCGCGTAATTATTTGAATTTCGCTAATCAACGTCCTGTATACGGCCGTCATTCTCCGTCTCCCTTTGGCTTATTATCGTTACCTCCCCCCTCTTCCCATCGTACTTCAGTACCTCGTCGAAAAACAGATTCGTATACGCGCGCGTGTGTGTGTTTATATATATATATATAAATCCATGCAACCAACCGTGCGTCGATCCGCTCTCGAATTATTTACCGTTGTAAAACGTGCACAAAACGATCAAGACGATTAACGAGAAGTACCTTTTCAATGGTAACCACCGTGAAATTTAATTTAACAAACGGATCACGCCAATCTCCACGCTCTCTAATTCGATTGCGATTCAGCGAAAAGACACTTTACGCGGTGGAGATTATCAAAGGTGAAAGTCTTTTTCAACGAAAGCGAGCGAGCTCATAAACCGAGGCGATTAAGATAATGGAAAGGAAGATGAGGGTGACGGAAAGAGGAAAAGTGGAGGAGGAGGAGAAGGAGGAAGGAAGGAAGGACGAAGTCGTCTGACGTTCCCAGTGAAAGGAATTCCGACCTTCCAGGATTTAAGACGCAATTTCCCTGACGATGTCGCACGTTATCCGTCATGAAGCTCGCGCGGCGGAACAATGCGCTCCGACTAAAATTACGCGTTCCAATTACAAATAGATACGCGTACGAGAACCGCAGACAATTTCGTTCGTTTCGCTCGAGTGGTAACGCGTTACGTCTATCTGTCTATGGTCTTTCTTCATCGAGCAAGCAAATCTCCGTTTCAACTCCAATTCTCGTTTAAAAATTCGGATGAAACCTGTGCTCGAGAACCGTGGACGACGCGATAAATCAGTCGAAACTATGGCGCGATTATTAATTAAAATTATTACGATTGAAAAAATAGGGGAGGAGAGAATTTCGCAACGACGTATATATAAAAATAATTAGTTGAAAGGAAGATCCGATCTTCCGCGAAACTCGAAACGCTTGTATCGCTTCGGCCAATGCAATGAACGCAATCGAACGCGTTGAACAATCGTTGGAAGGTCGATGGCAAATCGAGGCTCGCCATCGCGCAACACCTGTATCACCTGCCAAGCCTCCTCCTCATTAACAAGCACTCTTACGTAAACCGTGGGCGTGCAACGATCAACCCGGAGCAACCCAATCCGGTAATATGAGCGTACGCGCGAGCGATGAAATTATTGCTCAACGCGATTGCTCGGGCGAGTAACGTGGTGAGCGAAAGGATGATAAAACGAGAAAATCTCGGCCGCTCGTGGCGGGGTACTCGGCGATCCATAATCAAGGCCACGCGATATTTCACGTGGAAGGAATTCTGTAGATCTCGACGTTCAGATTGCCGGTGAATAGATAACCGTGAAGAAAAGTCACGCGAAGTCGTAAGGGGATCCTAACAGGTCGAGCCGGCCAACTTCTACGTGCCGCGAATTTTTCAAACGCTTCGCTAATCGATCGCCATTTTCTTCGCGAGAAGAGAGGAAAGAAGAAGAGGAGGAGGAACGAGGCCAACGAGGATCGATTAATTATGGATCGAAGAAAAATTTTTCTCTTCCTATCTTCTCGAGGCGCGAAGCTAGAACAATCCTGTAATCCGGAAATCAAGATCGACTCAATCTTTACCGGAAACGATCGTTTCTTCGGAAGGAACGTTTCGCGTAAGATCGTTCATACAGTTGAGCGGGATAAGAGGACGAGGAAAAAAGTGGGGTCGATACAATAAATCAGGATAAATCTGGAAAGCGGAGGAGCAATAAATTCGACTTCGTTTATCAGGCGGAGTAACTTCTATTCGATTCCTCGCCGGCAAGCCTTTTTGGAAACTTTGTCAGACTGACTGCAGAGGGGGAGGAGGAGGAGGATCGCGGCTCCGCTGCAATTTTATCCCGTAAAACCGGAAGTTTTCGACGAAATCTCGACTTAAACGAGACGCGGGGAATCAGAGAGGTCCACGCGACACGGGCTCTCGATGAAAATCCTCGGCTAATGTATTCCAAACCTCCCTCCAATCCTCCTCCTCTTTCTTCTTCTTCTCCATAGTCGATCCCATGCCGGGTCAACCAGTAATCCACTCTCTCTCTCTCTCTCTCTATCTTCCAAGTCTCCCCTTATTCCAGTGTTCCTCTCCTTCTAGGCCGCCCACGCGGCCGCGCATCCTCCGCGTTTTCGCGTCTCTCGCGTCCGCGCGGACGTAAAGCGAGGAGTATCGCATTCCTCGCATCTCACAAAACTGGCAGTCGAGGGGGAAAGGAGGAAAGCACGAAGAGGTTAGGAAGAGGGTATCGCGCGTCTACTGCTGTACGTGAAATCGCGTACAGAAAGCGCGTGAATAAAAGAAAAGTTGTCGGGCAACGCGAGATGTCGCGATGGAGTATGTAACACCGAAAGGAACGCGGTCGAAACACGTCGCCCCTTTCGAAACGTTTCGAGGATTTCCTTCCGAAATCGAGGTACGCGCTTGAACAAAAAAGGCTCGATCCTCCGATTCACATTTCCTTGATCTTCAAACTCGTTCCTTTTCGAAAGGAGCGAACATCTGATCGAGTTGCGCAACGGAGAGAATTTCTCGCGAAAACCGACGACGAGTCGAAACCACCCGGCCTCGTTCGAGTCCGGATCGGGAACGGATTTCGGACGTGGCCGAAAATGGCTCGATAACGAATTCTCCGGCCGAATTTTTGGTCGCGCGAGCTTTTCAGACACGGAGGGGAAATAACGTGTGCAGGTGCATTCGCGCGCGTACAAT